AACATGTTCTTGGTTGGCTTTGACGTTGATTAAAATTTTTAAATTCCGCTGCGCACTCGATGCCATTACTTTCTAACAGGGCCGACCCAGCCCAGCATGTCTAGGCCCATAATGGCCCGGCCCAGCCCATCTAGGCCCATAATCTTTTTATATATTTTTTTTTCTTTTTTTAGTAATTTTGTAAACATCTTATGTATAATTATCCTTATTGTACTCTTTTTTTCTTATCAAAGTTTTGTCCCACTGGGTTTTCCTTATATTTTTATTTAATGGTGTAATCGTAAATAAAATATCATTTTTCATATTTTCATTGACTATTCAAACTTATATATTTGTTAACTTGTTTAAAAACTCAAAAATAAAAAATAAAAAAAATTTTAAAATTGCATGCTTAGATGGGCTGGCCCATCTATACCCATGATAGGTGATGACGGGTATTTCAAATCAAGTACTTTTAAGCTTGAATATTTGTAAGTTTTCAAGCATTTTTGTTAGTTTAATGTCTTTTGTGTGTTTTTTATAGGAGTTATAAATAAATGCGAACTTAGATGATTTTGCATGAAGCAAAGAAGAATATTTGCCCAACTTGTGAATCAATGGCAAGAGGAGGCAAAAGAGGATTTTAAGGCACAAAATAGGAGGCTTGGAATGCAAAAAAGCGGGCTGCAGCGTACCCTTTTGGGCTACAGCGCGCAAAGGAATGCAAAGAAGTCCAGAGAGTAAGGGAAGCGCAGGCTGTAGCGCACCAAAGTGGGCTGCAGCGCACCCAAATGTGCCCAGCTCCAAAAATGCACGCGGAATGAAAGAAAGAGGGCTGCAGCGTACCCTTTTGGGCTACAGCGCGCAAAGGAATGCAAAGAAGTCCAGAGAGCAAGGGAGGCACAGGCTGCAGAGCACCAAAGTGGGCTGCAGCGCACCCAAACATGCCCAGCTCCAAAAATGCGCACTGCAGCGCACCAGAGGGGTTGCAGCGCGCCCAAAACGTGCCCAGAGGCTGGACACGCGCTGCAGCGCGCCAAAAGGGCCCAGGAATGTGTCCTACGCGCTGCAGCGCTCCTCAACCCCCTACGAGCGAAATTCCTCTTCCAAAAATGCGCACCGCAGCGTATTTTCACGCGGCCTGCAACGCGCGACTGAATCCCTAGCTCCAAAATGTTGTAGTGTAAAAGGAAAGAGATGCCATTTTGGAAGGAGAGCCCGGAAAAGTGAAGAAAACATCAAAAGGAGGCCGAAATCCTTCATCTTGGAGGTCCTTGGAAGCTCTTCAATGGATATTGGGTTTTATCTTCTTTCATCTATTTTTTCATGTTGAGCTAGACATTAAATCTAGGACTTGATGTAGTTTTATTTGAACTATGTTTTGAATATTTTGTTGATTTTTAATTTAATTTCGTTTTCAATTCATTTATGTTTCTCTATGCTTAATGCTTTTAATTTATTTGGCCAATGAGTTAGATGATTTTTAGATTGTGAATTTGATGCTCGGGAGAGATTGAATTCTTTATGTAGATTTGAGAAGCATAGTCTACATTGTTGTGAGACAGGGAGGAGATCAACGCTTAGATAATCAAATTAGGATTTAGGTCGTTGTGAGGCCGGGAGGCGATCAATATTCCTATTTTCTAATTCTAAAGGCGAAGCTTAATTTGTGTTTAAATGTTCATTTCGAATAGGGATATTGTTTTGGGTATTTAAATACAATTTCTTGTGAGGCACTCGGGAGAGGTTGCGAGATGACATTAGAGCCTTGATTAATGAATTGAATGGAATTGATTAGCGATTACATAATAGGATGAACATAGGAATAATAAAGCGAAATCAAGTCCCTAGACTATTTGTGTATAGATACTTTATTTTCTTATTTTCATATTTATTTTGTTTTATTTTCTTAATTGTCATTTTATTAGGTTGCCTAGATAAAGTTAAGTTACAATAATTGCGGTACTTAATGGCAATTCTAAACCCAATCCCTGTGGAGACGATACTCACTCACCTTATACTCAAAACTTGACACCGTACACTTGCGGAAATTTATTATACAAAAATAAATTTGCATCAATAGGCCAAGATGGGCCTTGAGTGGGCCAACCCATTTAAGGCCCATGGCACGGCCCATCCTGGCCCGCAGCACGGCCCAGTCTGGCCCACGTAAAATTGGCCCGTGGTGTGGGCTGGGCCGAGGTCATTCTTATACGGATTGGCCCGGCCCGGCCCACAAAATTTATGGGCTGAGCCGGTCCGGTCCGCAGCCCACGTGAGCCTAAGGAGAACGGGCCGGGCCGGGCCGACCCGTTCTTGCATCTCTAATTCTACCCATCTGAGTTAGTTATTGACGATGTATGTTTTTGTTTATGCCTAGATTTCTTTCTAGGTCGTGTCGCTCATGTCCTTAGTATTAAGGGTTTGGTCTCGGTTGACTGGTTGTATCTATCGACTGTAGTGATTCTTTTTAACGAGCTTTGTCGCGCTTGATTTTATTTGTATCAAGCGGGTCTTTCTCCACTGGTTGTCGATACTTGTATTCACCTTTGTGTGTTATCCGTCTTTAGTGGAGGATCCAATCAGTATTCATGCTTAATGCTTTTAATTTATTTGGCCAATGAGTTAGATGATTTTTAGATTGCGAATTTGATGCTCGGGAGAGATTGAATTCTTTATGTAGATTTGAGAAGCATAGTCTACATTGTTGTGAGACAGGGAGGAGATCAACGCTTAGATAATCAAATTAGGATTTAGGTCGTTGTGAGGCTAGGAGGCAATCAATATTCCTATTTTCTAATTCTAAAGGCGAAGCTTAATTTGTGTTTAAATGTTCATTTCGAATAGGGATATTGTTTTGGGTATTTAAATACAATTTCTTGTGAGGCACTCGGGAGAGGTTGCGAGATGACATTAGAGCCTTGATTAATGAATTGAATGGAATTGATTAGCGATTACATAATAGGATGAACATAGGAATAATAAAGCGAAATCAAGTCCCTAGACTATTTGTGTATAGATACTTTATTTTCTTATTTTCATATTTATTTTGTTTTATTTTCTTAATTGTCATTTTATTAGGTTGCCTAGATAAAGTTAAGTTACAATAATTGCGGTACTTAATGGCAATTCTAAACCCAATCCCTGTGGAGACGATACTTACTCACCTTATACTCAAAACTTGACACCGTACACTTGCAGAAATTTATAATACAAAAATAAATTCGCATCAATAGGCCAAGATGGCCTTGAGTGGGCCAGCCCATTTAAGGCCCATGGCACGGCCCATCCTGGCCCGCAGCACGGCCCAGTCTGGCCCACGTAAAATTGGCCCATGGTGTGGGCTGGGCCGAGGTCATTCTTATATGGACTGGCCCGGCCCGGCCCACAAAATTCGTGGGCTGAGCCGGTCCGGTCCGCAGCCCACGTGAGCCTAAAGAGAACGGGCCGGGCCGGGCTGACCCGTTCTTGCATATCTAATTCTACCCATCTGAGTTAGTTATTGACGCTGTATGTTTTTGTTTATGCCTAGATTTCTTTCTAGGTCGTGTCGCTCATGTCCTTAGTATTAAGGGTTTGGTCTCGGTTGACTGGTTGTATCTATCGACTGTAGTGGTTCTTTTTAACGAGCTTTGTCGCGCTTGATTTTATTTGTGTCAAGCGGGTCTTTCTCCACTGGTTGTTGATACTTGTATTCACCTTTGTGCGTTATCCGTCTTTAGTGGAGGATCCAGTCAGTATTCAAGGTCGAATTCCCTTATAATTTATGGTCATTATGACTATTATGCAATTTGTATTTTAGTAATGATATTTTCTCTTCAAAAAAAATTTTGCTAATTTTTTTCTTCTTTTTGACCGAATAATTTGATAATTTTTGAGAACTTTTTCTTTTTTCTTTTTCTTATTTTTTTTGTCCATCTTGTTTAATACTTTTGTTTTGATGTCGTTAGGTTCTTTTTACGAGTTTGGGTTGAGAATTTAAGATGAAAAGTAAATTTATGTAAGACAACACTATAGTAAAATATGAAACTAAGGGCTTGTTCTTTTGAGTGAAAAACTCAAAAAAAAGCTACTCAAGTTACAACTTTATTTGAGTTCATGTTCTTTTAAGTTTAAACTCGAGTTTAAACTCGAGTTCAAACTCAAGTTTAGGACTAAAACTCGAGTTCAAGTTTCCCCTTCAACTTGAGTTCAGAAACTCGAACTCAAATTAATGAATAATATTTTTTTTATTCTTAAAAATGCTATAACTTTTTCGTTTTAATTCTGATTGAGATGATTTTTTTTCTATGCGTTGACAATGAAAAGACGAATAAAACCCGACCCATATACCCTATTAAAATTTTTCATCAGCATTGAGTTTTTATTAAAATACTATCTAAATATAAATTCAAGTTTTGACTCACTCAAACACAAACTCAAAAAGATTCTTATCTCAAATCATAACTCAAATGTACACAACCAAATACAAACTCAAGTTACAAGTTCAACTCAAGTTATAACTCAAATTCAACTCAAGAATTATACTCAAGTTAAACTTTAAAAGAACAAGCCCTTAAATTTTGAGTTTGGGTTGAGAATTTAAGATGAAAAGTAAATTTATGTGAGATAACATTATAATAAAATACAAAACTTAAATTTTTACAAGAAAAAATATTATAATAAAAAATTTAAGTTGTGATTTGAATCGTAAAAATCGGGATCTTCATTTTTGTAAGGTGTTTTTTAGAGATAATTTCTCACAAAGTTTTTCATTTTGAGTTTGGGTTGAGAATTTAAGATGAAAAGTAAATTTATGTGAGATAACATTATAATAAAATACAAAACTTAAATTTTTACAAAAAAAAATATTATAATAAAAAATTTAAGTTGTGATTTGAATCAATCCGGATCTTCATTTTTGTAAGGTGTTTTTTAGAGATAATTTCTCACAAGTTTTTCTTGTTGGACAATTAATTAATTAGATATAAGTATAGTTGACGGTATTTATTATTATTTTTTACATTTATTCTATGCTTTTTCACTCTGCACAGCTGCTTCTTCTTCTTCTTCGTCCCCTTTGGTCTCATCTTCTTTCTCCCAATCTCTCCGATGTCGACCGAGACCGAAGATGCCGTAAGACGCCGTACGGCCACCGCTGACTACCGTAAGAAGCTTCTCCACCACAAAGAGCTCGATTCCCGCGTCCGCGCAGGTCGGATTTCAAACCTAACAATTCAAATTCTTAATCTTTTTATCATTTTCAGTCCAACAGTTTTGGATCGTTATTCGATTTTCTCTCCTAGGTTTTCAATAGTCTGTTTTTATTGATTGAATCTCTTAGGGATTTGAATTCTGCTTTTGGTTGGAAAAGACCTAGAATTTTTGTTTTTGTCAAAGTTGGGGATTTGAGGTGTTGATTGGGTGACGGGAAAATTTGGCAGTGCGAGAGAAGTTGCGGGCTGCGAAAAAGGAGTTTTCCAAGACGGAAGATGATCTCAAGTCGCTTCAGAGTGTTGGGCAGATCATAGGCGAAGTTCTTAGGCCTCTTGATAATGAACGCTGTAAGATTTCTCTATTTTTCTCTCTTAAATGGTTTATGAGGATTTGGGGGTTTTGTATTCTGAATTTTTGTAAATTTAGATTTTGAGGAATATGAAAATGTGTTTGCTTTGAGAATTTTCAGAACTAATTGGATATCTTACTTTGAATTTGATTGGATTGGATCAGTGATAGTGAAAGCAAGTAGTGGACCTAGGTATGTGGTTGGCTGCCGGAATAAAGTGGACAAAGAGAAGCTAACTGCAGGCACCCGAGTCGTTCTCGATATGACTACTTTAACTATCATGAGGGCACTTCCGCGTGAGGTGAATCTTTTGTGTGAATATCTTTTTCGGGGAACACTTTTGGCTGTTTTTGCTTAATTCCGCGTCCTATTATGATGGGGAATTGATTTTGAGAATGCAACATGTTTGCCAAATGATCCCTTTCTGTTTCTTGACTTGGGGTTAACTTTTTTTCCAGGTTGATCCCGTGGTGTATAATATGCTTCATGAAGATCCAGGTAATGTGAGCTATTCAGCTGTGGGAGGCCTGTCAGATCAGATTCGAGAGCTTAGGGAGTCTATAGAACTGCCTCTTATGAATCCCGAGCTCTTTCTTAGAGTAGGGATCAAACCTCCAAAGGTAATACTAATTTCAATTATGTTCTCGGTGATTTTGGCATTGTTATCAGAAAAGTTTTGCTTCATTACGTAGCAGCTTAGAGAAAGAGAATCATTTTGATAACTGTATTTTTCATGAACCAGGGTGTTCTTCTTTATGGACCTCCTGGAACAGGGAAGACATTACTTGCAAGAGCTATTGCTAGCAATATAGATGCTAACTTTCTAAAGGTTGGTCTTCCATTTTGATTTTATGCCAGTATAGTACATAATTTATTGCTGCGATTTTCTTCCATACACGTGGTATGCATGTGTACATGTGGTATTTGATGCAACTACTATTTGACCCTAGGTTGTGTCCAGTGCCATCATTGATAAGTATATTGGTGAAAGTGCAAGATTGATTAGGGAGATGTTTGGCTATGCTCGTGATCACCAGGTAAGAGCTTGAACTATATTGAGCCTTTCTACTTTGCATGTCTACATTTAGAAGCATGTCTCTTATCTGTTTTCTCCTCCTTGTATAGCCTTGTATCATTTTCATGGATGAGATTGATGCTATTGGTGGACGCCGTTTTAGTGAAGGGACCAGTGCAGACCGTGAAATTCAAAGGACACTAATGGAGTTGCTTAACCAACTTGATGGTTTTGACCAGCTTGGAAAGGTATACTGGTTTTTGACCTTTGTTCAAACCAAGGTTGATCTTTGAACTTTGATGGTTATACTTTATCATACTTGCACAGGGTAAAATGATTAGGCTTAACCTTGAATTGGGTGTCTTAGGTTAAAATGATTATGGCAACAAATAGACCTGATGTTCTAGATCCCGCACTTCTTCGTCCTGGAAGACTAGACAGGAAAATTGAGATTCCATTACCGAATGAGCAATCAAGAATGGAAATTCTGAAAATCCATGCTGCTGGCATTGCCAAACATGGAGAAATTGACTATGAAGCAGTTGTGAAGCTTGCTGAGGTAAGCTGTGATTATTACCCGAAAGTGGTAGTGGTTCACATTTTTTGACTGAAATTAATTATTTCATTGTTTCAGGGATTTAATGGGGCTGATCTTCGAAATGTTTGCACCGAAGCTGGAATGTCTGCAATTCGTGCTGAAAGGGATTATGTCATCCAAGAAGATTTCATGAAGGTAGGCAATCAGAACAGTAACTTCTGATCTTTCTATGTAATTATTCTGAGACGTGAAGGCTCAGTCATGTGGTATGCGATCAGATAATACTATTGTATGCTTATAAACAAACTGGTGATTTGCATCGTGGGTGCTGTTAATATGCACGACTTCTGTTGTTCCCTTCCCTTGTTTATGACATGTATGCAGGTGTTGATATCAGTTTGCGTGCACCTTCTTCTGATTCTTTTGACCGTATCTCTAAATATGATTTGTTCTTCTGTTACTTATTTTTTCTGGCTGATATTTCAGGCCGTACGAAAATTGAATGAAGCAAAGAAACTTGAGTCCAGTGCTCACTACAATGCCGATTTCGGCAAGGACTGAAATAAATTTTAATATGCTGGAAATTTTATGGAAAAAATGAAGTCATGTTAGAGGCTGTTTCTCTAATCTTGACTTAAGCCTATTTCTCTGTTCTCGAAGAACTGGATGGTGTCTATGGTGGCAATGCAATACAGTCTGCAAGAAGTCTCCCACCATCTCCATCAGAGATAAACAGTTCAAAATGTTCTGTTTCATTTTTTTTCCCTTTTCTTTGGGCTATTCTTTTTAGTTCTTCAGCTGTGTAATTGTGAATTGTCAAGCTTCAATTATATGTTTCCTTTTCTTTTTTCCTGGCTAAAGAATATTTTTTTCGGTGCTACATGTAAAAACACTCCAACCTGGTTCCTTTTTAGTTCTTCAGCTGTGTAATTGTGAATTGTCAAGCTTCAATTATACGTTTCCTTTTCTTTTTTCCCCGCTAAAGAATATTTTTTTCGGTGCTACATGTAAAAACGCTCCAACCTGGTTTGCCTTCTCAGTGTTGAATTCTAAAACAGATTCCGATGGCGTTTGCATTGTTTTTTTGTTGAACATGAAGAGCTAAAGTGAAAGATTGGAATGCCTCATCCCATGATAAAAATTTGTTCTTGACCATCCGTCTCTGAGAGTATTGTTCATTTGCTTTTATCATGTTGTATTATCCTCTTTTGGCTTCTTGACAATGCTGTGATAAGGAACCACGGATTAGAATGGAAGTTGAGTTAAAGTTTTATGCAAGTAGCAATAAGTTGAAGAATGCTAGTTTCATCTTTTAGCGCATGGTCTGCTGCATAAATATTTTATGAATAGATTTTAAAAGTTCATCTTTTCCTTGTTGAAAAATTAGGAGACATCTTTAAGATTTTAAACTTTTAGGGATTTTCAATTTTCGATATCAAGTCATGTGCCTGGTAAACTATTGTTTTTTTATTCGCAAATGTAAGTTTTTAATATAAATTCATGTGATAATTTTTTAGATACTCATCGATAAAGTATGACGATCAACTTTGTAAGTTTGTTGTGTTAGCTTAGTATTAAAAAGTTAGAATTCCCTGGTATTATTCTTTAAATAACATCACTAGACAAAGTATGTCATTTGAATATAAAGAAATACAAATTTTGATAGGTTGAAAAAATTGGATTAAACCTTTCAAACAGCTTTAGTTTTTCTCTCTCCTAATATAAAGAGATCAGCAGTGGAATCAATATTAAACATAATAAAATAAAGTTTCTCTTACTTTTATGACGGATGACGGTGGTATAGCGGTAAATGATGATTTATCAAGACCCTTTCTGTTGTCATCCAAACTGTCCAACAAGAGTGTGAGGAGTGATCCCTCCTACTTTTCATTTTCCTCCCCCAAATTATACCCTTCTTTTCCTCCCTATTGGCCTAAAAGATAAAACAAAACAAGAAATACACACCCTCACTCTTATGTCCCCAACCCAAACCCTCACTTGAGTTGGCGCTCAGAGAGAAACCACTAACCAAAACCAGAAGCCACCATGCCCATAATCTCCCGCCCACCAAAGCCAATAACACAACACCTTGTCTGCTTTCAAGTTCAAGTGATAAAATCCTTGTCTTCCTCATCCTCAATTCCCACCCCCACACACGATCACATTGCCCGTCTCATCCTCGACCAAAAGTCCGCTTCCCAAGCCCTCCAAACCTTCTCATGGGCCTCCCAACTCCCCAACTTCCGCCATTCCCACTCCACCTACTGCTCCTTGATCCACAAGCTCTGCATCTTCCGTCGCTTCGACGCCGCCCACCAGCTGCTCGACGAAATGCCCACCTCACTTGGCTCGCCCCCAGATGATGACACTTTCGTCACGCTCATCCGTGGCCTCGCCCGGGCCCGCATGACTCGTCGTGTGCTCAATGTGCTTGACTTGGCCTACAAGTTTCACGCCAGGCCTTCTCTCAAGATATTCAATTCCATACTCAATGTTCTTGTGAAGGAGAACATTGACGTCGCGAGGGAGTTCTACCGGAGAAAGATGATGGCGAGTGGTGTTGAGGGCGACGACTACACCTTCGGCATTTTGATGAAAGGGCTCTGCTCTGCCAACCGAATTGCCGACGCTTTTAAGCTCTTGCAAGTCATCAAGTCCAGAGGAGTTCCTCCCAATGCTGTCGTTTACAACACACTGCTTCACGCGCTTTGCAGGAATGGGAAAGTCGGAAGGGCGAGGAGTTTGATGAACGAAATGGATGATCTTAGTGATGTTACTTTCAACGTCATGATTGCCGCATATTGTGCGGAAGACAACATAGTACAAGCTCTTGTCATGTTAGACAAGTGCTTTTCTCTTGGATTTGTGCCTGACATTGTTACCGTGACCAAGGTGCTGCAGATTCTCTGCAGCTCAGGGCGTGTATCTGAGGCTGTCGAGATTTTAGAAAGAGTGGAGAGTAAAGGATGCCTTGTCGACGTCGTCGCTTATAACACCTTACTCAAAGGCTTTTGTGAATCAGGAAAAGTGAAAGTTGGGCGTCGGATTTTGAAGGAAATGGAGAGGAAGGGATGCCTTCCGAATTTAGATACCTATAACGTTTTGATCCATGGATTCTGCAAGTCCGGCTTGTTGGATTCGGCTATGGGTCTGTTTAATGACATGAAGACTGATGGGGTTCAATCGAATTTGGTTACATATGACACATTGATTAGAGGTTTGTGCTATGGAGGAAGGACCAAAGACGGGTTTCTGATCCTGCAACTAATGGAGGAGAGTAAAGGGGGTTGTGGGGGCCGAATTAGTCCTTATAATAGTATCTTGTATGGTCTATACAAAGAAAATCGTGTGGATGAAGGGCTTGAGTTTCTAACCAATATGGGGAGATTATTTCCTAGAGCTGTTGATAGGAGTTTGAAGATTTTAAACTTGTGCAGTGAGGGAAAGGTTGAGGATGCAAAGAGCATTTATGATCAGCTGATTAGTGAAGGAGGAGCACCATGTGTTATTGTTTACAGCCATTTGATCTGCGGATTTTGCGAAGAAGGGAATCTTCGGGAAGCCCTTGCGCTGATGAATGAGATGATTGCTCGTGGCTATTCTCCTATTGCCTCGACATTCAATTCGCTCATCAGCGGGTTTTGCAGTCGAGGAAGAAGTGATGCCATAAGACTTGTGGAAGACATGGTTGGGAGAGGATGTACTCCTGATGCTGGAAGTTACAGTCCTCTGGTGCATGCTCTTTGCAGGGAAGGGGATTTTCAGAAGGCTTCAATGATGGTTTCACAAATGGTAGAAAAGGGTATAATTCCTGATTATTGTGCATGGAGCTCGTTGATTCTTTGTCTATGTAAAGGAAAAGAATGTTTAGAAAACAATCATATGTTTCGTAGAAATGAGTTGCTGAAGCTCATAATAGAGACTTAAGTCTCGTTCATTTCGTTAGTTCGAATCATAACTTAATTTTTTATTATAGTATTTTCTCTCATAAAAATTCAAATTTAACTTTTTCTGCTATTTTCTCACATAAATTCACTTTTTAACTTAAGTTTTTAGTATTTTCTCTCATAAAAATTCAAATTTAACTTTTTCTGCTATTTTCTCTCACATAAATTCACTTTTTAACTTAAGTTTAAACTCGAACAAGTGAAACAAACGAGGCCTTGGACTTGTATGCCGATTATGGCTCCAATTTTGTTGACAATGTCAAATTGGTGATTTAACTTGACAATGGTTCTTCCGTTGAAACATGTGAAGATTACTGCTACATGTTTCCAGAGAAGATTGGCGCATATTTTTTTATTCAGAAAAATGGCTCTACCTGAAATGCAGCTTTGAAATTAATATGAAGAGATAGATACTTCTATTTTTATACAGAAAATAAGACAACTTCTCATAAGAATTAATAAATAGTTAATAGAAACCTATGGTCCAGAAGCGTTTCAGATGGTCTTCTCTAGAGATGTAAATTAGCAGGGGAGAAAAGCGACAAACAAGTTAAATGGAAGGAGCATATCCTTCTTGATAAACATTTTATTAGGGGACAATATAAATATCTCCTTGCAAATTACTTCCTAATGTACATCTTACAAAGACGATGAATGCATCCTCTCCTCCTACGTTATCTTTTGCATTCATTTCTTTCCCTTAAATCCATCAATAAAGGACCCCTACATGTAATCAACGCAGAGACTAAAGAACTGTATCTCAGCTCAACTCAAACATCATTGCCACTCGAGCGATTCCAAAGCTTGCTGATGAATTCGTTTGTCCCCAGCTGCCAATACATTAAAAGCTGGAAATTGAAGCAAAAAGTGATTAATCAGGTCAGTACTAAGAGAAAATTAGTTGACAACTTTTGTGAGATGCAAGACTAACTTCATCAATGTGATTCTAATCAAGCAGATGATGATAGAAAGCCAGATCAGAAAGATTAGTTTCACTTATAAAGTGCATACTTGTTGCACGTGAATTTGGAGAAGCCTCCCACTGGAGCTGATGTCCTTTCCAATCAGTTATGACACCCCCGGCACCTTCTATCACAGGTAGGAGCGCAAGAAAATCGTATGGCTGAAAAGAAGAAATTATCTTGAGCCAAAGCCAAATTGCATTGTATTCCATTATTTTATTTTGTTTTATTTTATCTTTTTAACTCAGGCCACTTTTCCAAGAAAGCCCATATTACCAAGCAGCAAGCACATTGGAAGGGAAGAAGCCTGTTTATTACGGCTAACTTCTTGTCATATCAACAACGCAACATAATCACACCAAGTTACCTTAAGACCAGATTCAACAACAAGATCCACATAACCGGACGCCAAAAGGGCATAAGCATAGCAGTCACAGCCATATAGTGGTGTTTTCACCTGTGCATGAGAGAGGTATTGAGAGACGGTAGGATTAGAAGAGAATACTTTTACTCCACTCAAAATATGAAGTCAACTGATATGTACTTATTGAGAGGGAAAGAGCAGAAATCCTTCTGAAGTCTCAATTTTATTCAGAGTTCAGTCATAAATCGCAATACATGTATAGGGATCCTGAACACTAGCAGAAAATCGTGATTAGAGGAAACAATTATGATGAGGTTCAACATGAAGGGGACTCGTAAAAAGGCCCATCAATTTACTTTACCTGGCCGACCCTGGGGGTATTTAAGTAATTCTTGAGAAGCATTTCAGAAGCCTTGGTCATGAAGAAACACAGCAAGAAGATCTGAAGATTGGAGCAAATTGGAACTAATTTTGGAAAGATTTGGACGCATTCTAGAAGGCTTGGAGCTCAAGTTTTAGTTTCCTTTTTAGTAATTGAATTACTTTCCTGTTTTGTTGATGCAACAATTTACTTTTTCTCCTAGTTATTTAGTTTCCCGTTTTTAGACTTTCCTGATTTTTAGAATCAGTTAGTTTCTCTTTTCTTTTGATTGAATTGTTTTAGGAAACAAAGAGAATCAGCACTCTATATATAGAGCACGCCCTCTCATTGTATTTTGATTGAATTTGGATGAATGAAAAGCTCTTTTGAGTGTTCTTCTCATCTCCGTGTGTGCCTGGTTTTGAGAGTCTATTCCGTTCTTATCAGTTAGAGATTCACACTAACTGTGGCGAACATCCCCTTGATCTTCGATTGTGGCGGATTTTCCTTATCAATCGAAAGCTCAAGATTACGTGAATTTCATCCCCGGACTAGCGATCCTTCTTATTTTGGCCCTGTTGTATCTTTGGTACCTTGGGGCTTATCATCTGGTATCAGAGCCAGGTTCTAGTCTAAGATAATATGAGTGGCAAGAAATCATCCCAAAGTGTGAGTCCTCCAGTGCAACGAGGTATGACTCTAGATCAAGCAAGGTTAACAAACCTCGAACGTCTTGTGCAAGAGAACCAACGCCAGAACCAAGAGCTTCAAGGCCAGATTGCAAGATTGACACAACTCATGGAGAGATGAACGCAAATCCTCAACCGCCACCTCAACCACAGTGCCAACAGCCACCAAGACGTCCTAGGCGTATGGAGGTAGAAGAGTCATACGACGCTGAAGTTGATGATTATCCCAAGGAGCCACCAAGGGATAGACGTCCATGGAGGCAATCTGACAATATCAAGTGCAAAATTCTGAAGTTTTCTGAAGTATGAGAAAAGGTAACTTCTATATTATTCACGATTATGGGTTGCACTTATATACACACGGTATTAGACCTAGAATCCCTACAAATCAGGATCTACAATATCTTTCCTAATAAATACAAATATTCTGGTATATCTAGAGAATAAAATCAGGAAACTACTTCCCTAGAAGTTAGGGATACGGTTAAGCCTAGATTGATTTTCTACACTCCCCCTCAAGCTAGGCGATAGATGTTCTCTAAACCAAGGACTGAGCTTAGCTCGGTGAGGTTAGGTCGGAATAAAGCCTTGGTTAGGATATCCACTGCTTGTTGCCTCGATGGAACGTAGCTGAGAGTGATTAGCTTGTTTTCAATTTTCTCACTGATAAGTGTCTATCAATCTCCACATGTTTAGTTCGATCGTGATGAATAGGGTTTTTGGCAATTGCAATTGCTGATTGGTTGTCAAATAGAATTCTGATAGGGTATGCTGCTTCAATCTTAAGATCGTTTAGCACCCTTTTTAGCCAAATTCCTTCACAGATACCCAAGCTAGTGTCCGGAACTCAGCTTCTGCACTACTTCGGACAACCACTGTTTGCTTTTTGCAACGCCAAGTCACTAAATTTCCCCAAATGAACGAACAATATCCGGACGTAGATCTTCGGTCACTGGGAGATCCTGCCCAATCAGCGTCTGTATAGATCTCTAGAGTTCGGTTGACTGTCTTCCTGAACATAAGACCCTTCCCAGGATCCTTCTTCAGATACCTCAATATCCGGTTCACTGCCTCCATGTGATCAATGGAGGGATTACCCATAAATTGGCTAACAAGACTGACTGCAAAGTTTATATCTGGACGAGTGTGAGTCAGATAGATTAGCTTACCCACTAATCGCTGGTATTGCCCTTTATCAGCCGCCAATTCATCAGTTCGAGGCATTAGCTTGGTATTGGGGTCCATAGGTATCTCAACCGGCTTGCACCCACTCATTCCGGTTTCACGCAAGAGGTCTAGAACATACTTGCGTTGAGAAACTGAGATTCCTTTGT